TGAATACAAGGCCTGTGGCCCTGACGCTGCCAAAGAAACACTGGTAGGTGGGGCAAGGCAGTGAGCTACTAGTGGTGGAGGGCAGGGTGCGAGCAACTAGCGGTGATGGGTGCAGCAGCCAGCTGAGGCAAGTAGAAGTGAGCTACTTGCTGGACCTCTAGTTGGTTTATAAAAATGCAACTGATTTCTGGATATTTATTTTGTAATCTACTGAATTCATTTATTGGTTCTAATAGTTTTTTCACATCTTTAGGTTTCTCTATATACAATATCATGCCATATATAAATATTGACAGTTTTTCTTATTTCTTTGTGGTTTGTTTAAAAATATATTTCTATCTAATATACATTAAGTGGCCAGATTATTATGATCTCTGAACACATAATAATCTGCCACTCAATGTATATCCTATATAATAAAAGACTAATATGAAAATTGTCCCCTGGACCAGGAGTTTGACCAGCAGGCAGGCTGGCCAACTGCCCATGTCCCTTCCCCCTGGTCAGGCTGGCCTGACTCCACCCTTGCACGAATTCATGCACCGGGCCTCTAATATAAAAATATATATATATATATGTGTGTGTGTGTGTGTGTGTGTGTGTGTGTGTGTGTGTGTGTGTTCAGAGATCATAATAATCTGGTCACTCAATGTATATTCCCTCTATGTAATGCAAGGCTCACTAGCAGTCTGGTGGATCTCTTCTTGCCTCCAAGGACTTTTACCTTGAATTCTTTATTTGTTGTTGCTTATTTTTGTTCATATAGAAGCACATTAGCTAAATTTAGAAAGAAGGAAAGACAGGGTTAGAGTTAGGGTTTAGGACTAGGAAGTGAGAGAAATTGCCTAATTGTAGTAATATAGAATGTTGTTTTGTCTTATTGAGAACATGGTGGTTTTTTTCTTTTTTCAAATGTTAGTGTGTGATTCATAAAAGTCGAGTTGTTTTTTAACGTCTTAAAGAAGAAAATGAAAGTAAAACATAAAGATCGTTACTCTAAATGAATTGTTTATACATTCGTCACTAGAAAACTATTTTTAGTTGAATAGTAGTTTCTGTCATGGTATAACCTGCTGTGGTTTTGAATATTGCTCTTAAGACTGTATTTAGTGACCACTAGGTTTTAATTGCTCAGAAATTTCAGAGAATGTAAGGAAGTTTTGGTTAAGCCTAGGAAATACCCATTCTTGCTTCCCTTAAAATTGGCATCAGTGATTACTTAATGAAAGTAGAATACTTTAAAAACACGTTCTTTAAAGTAGAGCTATTACTAAAATATTATACTATAATAACTAGTATGTAAGTAATAGCTGCTTTTTTTGTTGTAGAAACTCTGTGGTAAGAGGAAAATTGCAAAATCCTTAAGAAAAATATAGTATAAAAAAATCACCGGCCAATGGAAGATTTTTAAACAATGGAATGTGGCTGAGAAATAAAAAGACGTGTAGGTTTGACATGGTTATATTTATTTAAATTCCTTGTTTCCTAGGACTTTGCAGATTTGGTTGTTTTCTCTCTTTTGACAAACTATTTTTTAAAATATCATTTGTATACCTCTACAGTTTGCAACTAGCTTCTCTTTTTATAATGGTATGCCAAACTCATTTTAATGCAACAGAAAGCTTACAGATTTGAGTTCTGCAATGTCAGGAAACAAACAGTATGTGTACTAATTTCTAAATTACTAGCTGGACTTCGAAATGTTCGTGTTTTTCATATAGCAAAGGCAATCCATAAAGAGCAATTGTATTGTTGATGTTTCACTGAACATTTGCATTGTTTAGTACTGTTTGTCTCTGCATTATTCAATATTATTATATGCTGTAATCTCTAGACCAGCAGAGAGCTACCAGCAAGCATAGACTTCCAAGGAGGAGGCAATGGGGAATGAAGCTCTATAAAATTTTGTTGACAGTATATGCAAAATACCTTTTGAAAATTGTACATAATAAATGGGAAAGTAGATCACACTTCACTTTTTATAAAGTCCTTTCTACACCTATCTTTCAAAAGTTTGCTTATACTTAGTGAACAAAGTAGGCATTTAAAATGGTGTGGTGTGGAAATAATTTTAAAATAACAGTTTAAATAATTAAACACTTTCATATTTCATTTTTTGTAAATGTTAGGAATTTTTTTAAAGCCTGTTACAACTAAATATACTTCTGGTCATTTATAATGGAAGGAACTATATGACTAAGAGACATGAATGATAGATACCATGGTTTTTTATTCTGACCAAACTTCATGCTAAATTTTAGTCAGCAAATAAACTATTTAGAATTTGCTGACTACCTAACTGTTAACTTACTTTAATAAGCAAGGACAAGTTTAGCCAACAATTTTTTTTTTTAATATTTTATTGATTTTGTACAGAAAGGAAGGGAGAGAGATAGAGAGTCAGAAACATCGATGAGAGAGAGTCATCGATCAGCTGCCTCTTGCATACCCCCTACTGGGGATATGCCCGCAACCAAGGTACATGCCCTTGACCGGAATCGAACCCGGGACCCTTCAGTCCCCAAGCCGACGCTCTATCCATTGAGCCAAACCGGTCCCGGCTAGCCAACAATTTTTGAACATAGAAAAGAGGTAAAGAACATGGCTTTGCAATCCAAAAAAAAAAAAAAAGAAAAGGAAAGAAAAGAAAAGAAAAGAAAAAATCACCATAGCCTAGGTAATTGAAAGTTCTTTTTTTGTAAATTTGCAATTGAAATACTAATTTGAAAGAAGGGTGGGAGTATGAGCTGCCTCAAATATTAACATTGAAATTAAAGATTTAAGCCCCGCCAAGGTGGCTCAGTGGTTGAGCATTGACCTATGGGAATCAATTCACGGTTTGGTCCCTGGTGCAGACATGCAAGAGGCAGACATGCAAGAGGCAGGTGATCAGTGTTGTCTTTCATCATTGATGTTTCTATCTCTTTTTCCCCCTCCTCCTCCCTCTCTAAAAATCAATAAAAATATATTTTAAAAAATTACAATTTAAGTTATTAATTATTTATTGTTCATTTACTATGGATAAGATAAAACCCAGGGAGTCTTAAGAATTTCGGATGATATGATTGTTGTGCTGAACATTGAATGTAGTTCTGAGTGTCATCATATTTGGGAGTAAGAATATTTTAAAAATAGATTTTATGGTTCTTTTGATTTAATCAAAGGGAATGTGCAAGATCAGTAGAGAAAGCTCTTCAGTATTATTTTTTAGATCTATATTGTTTTCTCATTCTGACCTTGGGGAAATGGCAGAACACCATTGCATTGTATATGACTTAGCTCAACTACTCTATACTGTGACCTATGACCTAATACATCATTTGTAAGTCCTTAATAATAATGATAATCACAGTCATAAAACTATATTACTGACCTTTCACGAGATATTCATATCTGTCATCTCACTTAAGCCTCTTAATTAGTTTTTCTATCAAAAACCACAACACTGACTTATATATACACAAATTATAACATAAAAATGGTATATATGTATGCTTCCAGATTATTTATAATTGATGGCTTTTATATCTCCTACTATTGTGTTAGGCTCTCTGGTATGGGATTTCCATTTATTATCTCATTTACTCACCCCACTAACATAAAATAGGTATCTGTATTTCCATAATAATGAGACCTTACTAGAGAGGTAGGAAATGGACATTTGAGGGTAGTAAGGAAGATACTGGTCTCGGTGGAGAGACATTGATACTCTAGGATGGTTTTTTATGTGATCAGAGTGGTCAGGAAAGCTGATTTTGTGTAGGACTTGTGCTGTTTACTGAGAGAGGAAACAAAACAGAAGAATGGAGATTGTGTAAATGCTGATGAGTTTACTTTAGACATGAATTTAAGGGAGGAAAGCAGATTTTATAGAATGTGTGTTTTAAACAATGGAATGTGTTTTTCATATAGAAGAGGCAATCCATAAAGAGCAGTTGTATTGCTGGTGTTTCACTGAACATTTGCATTACTATATGAAAAACACAGCCAACAGTGGTAAGATTTTTGTTTTTGTTTTGTTTTTTTTGCCTTGAATCTTATAGGCATTTGTTAGGCTTTTTTTTTTTAAATGTTAATAACATTTCACATTGATTGTTGATTGTGTTTGTGAAGAAATATAATGAGGTGTTAATTTCTTGAATAATTAGATAAATTTTGGGAGGATTTCATGGTTTGTGAACATTATAGCTACTATGCCTGTGTAGGTAAAATAAATAAATTTATATGTCAAAAATATGTTTTAATTTTAAAGAGAGGAAGGAGAGGGAGAGGGAGAGAGAGAGAAAAATATCAATGATGATAATCAACTGCCTGCAATCCAGGCATGTGCCCAACTGGGAATTGATCTGTGACCTCCTGGTTCATGGGTTGATGCTCAACCACTGCTCTGCACTGGCTGAGTGGTAAACTTTTAAAAAAAATATATTCTATTGATTTTTTACAGAGAGAAGGAAGAGGATAGAGTTAGAAACATCGAAGAGAGAGAAACATCGATCAGTTGCCTCCTGCACACCCCCTACTGGGGATGTGCCTGCAACCAAGGCACAGGCCCTTGACTGGAATCAAACCTGGGACCTTTGAGCCAAGCTGGTTTTGGCTCTCTTAAACTTTTTTTTTTTTTTTTAATATATTTTATTGATTTTTTTTACAGAGAGGAAGGGAGAGAGATAGAGAGCTAGAAACATCAATGAGAGAGAAACATCGACCAGCTGTCTCTTGCACACCCCCTACCGGGGATGTGCCCGCAACCAATGTACATGCCCTTGACCGGAATCGAACCTGGGACCTTTCAGTCCGCAGACCGACGCTCTACCGCTGAGCCAAACCGGTTTCAGCATGCTCTCTTAAACTTTTAAGTTATTTAATATACAAGCCAAACTTCTTTTTTGTAAGAAAAAAAAAAGAGTATAGAAATTAAAACAAAGGGGGGGAAAAGCAATAGTCCTACTAGGTTGATTATTATATTTTGATTTTTTTTTTCTGTGTGTTGTTTCTTTCAGAAATATGGCTATACACACCTTTCTGCAGGAGAACTTCTTCGTGATGAAAGGAAAAACCCAGATTCACAGTATGGTGAACTCATTGAAAAGTACATTAAAGATGGAAAGATCGTGCCAGTTGAGATAACCATCAGTTTGTTAAAGAGGGTAAGGAATGTGAATAGCAACCAACTTAAATAAGCAAGGAAATGATAAATTAAATCTGCCTTTTCTTTGAGTAATGAAAATATTCAGAGTATTGAATTTTGTTGTTGTTAATTCTCACCCGAGGATATTTTTTCCTCATTTACTTTTAGAGAGTGTGGAAGGGAAGGAGAAAGGGGGGGAGGGGGTGGGGAGAGAGAGAGAGAGAGAGAGAGAGAGAGAGAGAGAGAGAGAGAGAGAGAGAGAGAGAGAGAGAGAGAGAGATCCATCACTGTGAGAGAGACACATAGATTGGCTGCCTCCCACATATGCCCCTCTTGGGTAAAGCTTCTGAATGTCCCAGATACATTAGTGCTTGCTTCTTTGTTTTATCATAGCATCCTTTTATATCTCATCATAGAACTTAGCACATTTAATTACATTTTGTTATCCACTGAACTTTGAGCTCCCCAGGAGCTATGACCTTGCTTTTCATGGCCTCATGATACTTGGCCTCAAATGTGTGTTGAGTGAATATAATATCAATGTACCATAATTGGGGCAGAAATGCTATAATAGGAGTCCAAAAGAATTGTGTGTGTTATGAATATTGGAGAAGCTAGATGCTGGGATAAAGCCAACACTCAGATAAAGGAATCGGGGGTCTTGACAATGTGAGCACTTACGGGACTAGATATTGGTTTGCTTTGGAAAAGAAGCTCCTTGGGAGTTTGACCAAATCATGCATCTGAGCTTATTATCTCGTGGGGATTAGTAGTGGTAAGGATTTGGAGATCACAGATTTGCATCTCCCATTCACATATCCACATTCTCCTATCTAAATTCAGACTTTGGAAGAGGATGGTGTGGTGTTCTGCTGTCTCTCTGAATGTGTTTTTTTGTTTTGTTTTTTTTTGCTACCTTTGTTTCGGGATAGCCAGTGAGATTTAGGTTTAATTAGTTGCAGTTTAAAAATAGAGAGAATATTAACTCCTATACTAATCATTAATGCTAGCAGTCTCTATATTTTTCCAAGGATTTTTGCAATTGGACTTGAATTATTGCAGAGAATCTGAGTGCCTTTAGATGCAGCATACTTCTCACCACAGCAAAATGACTTGGGAAGTGAAAGGGGAAGGTTGGATAGGGTCTCTAGTGGCTGAAGCAAAGATACTGATTAATACTTATTTTTTTTCTTTATGCTGTGAGTGTGTATGTGAAAATAATACATGCTTACTGTAGAAAATTTAGAAACTACACACAAATTGTATGTGAATGTGCATAAGATGGGGGAAGAATACCTACCCAAAACTCCACTATCTCAAGGCAACCATGTTAATACTGATTGGATCATTTTCTTTTAAATACATACATATATATATATATATATATATATATATATATATATATATATATATTTCCATTGACTTTTCTAGAGAGAAAGGAAGGGAGAAGCAGAGAGAGAGAAACATTCATGTGAGAGGGAAACATCAGTTGGCTGCCTCCTGCACATCCCTGTACTGAGGATCGAGCCTGCAACATGGGCATGTGCCCTGATCTGGAATCAGACCAGCCACCTTCTGGTGCATGGCATGACCAACTGAACCACACTAGCGAGGGCGGATCATTTTCTTTAAGTCTTTTTTTGTCTGTGCATCCTTCATGCTTTATTTGTGATTTAAGGAAAAATAAAAGAAACACCAATATATCCACTACCCTCCTTAAGAAATTGTTAATGTAGTATTGACCCTAAAGTTTCCTTTTCTTTTAGGAAATGGATCAGATAATGGCTTCCAATACTCAGAAGAATAAATTCTTGATTGATGGGTTTCCAAGAAATGAAGACAACCTTCAAGGTTGGAATAAGACCATGGATGGGAAGGCAGATGTATCTTTCGTTCTGTTTTTTGATTGTGATAATGAGGTAATGAACATCTTCATCTGCCCACATGGGCTTTAACAACTTGATTCAATGATTAGAAAATGCAGTCACGGTTTACTTATATTATATTTTATATTGGCAGTAGTATTTTTTTGAATTGGAACATTGGATGGACAGAATAGTACTGTCTTGCTGTTGGAGTGTTAAACACTTTTTGGCATCAGCAACCTTGTGGGCCTAAAATTTGCTTTATTTTTAAAATAAAAGATTGTATTTTGCTTTGTTTTTAAGTAAAAATTGACTTGTATAATAATGTTAAGTAATGAAGTTGCCCTATTACTTCTGAGGTATGCACTGTTATCAGAGAGTGTATCTTGCCTTAAGATGGCTATTTATTGGAAAAGAGACACACATTTCTGAGAATTTGGGAAAACTTCCTATTTTAAGGCAACATTTAAGATAGCCTGATTTGTGTTCATAGTGTAAAATGATCTTGAAAAAAAGCAGGACAGCATTCTTTTTCTCTCTGGCACTTCCAATAGCATACTTAGACATACCTTTGACTAACTGAGTTAATTTCATTTAATTAAAAGGCCTGGCTGTTTCACACCTATAAACTCCATTAAATTAATGTCAACCGCCTGAAAGAATAAGAATCTGAAGTATTGCTTTGAAGGAAGTTGGCTGGTTGAATTGCAAATGTGCTCTGGTGGAGGGACTTTTAGTTGTTTTAAAATGTAACTCTCTTCTCCAACCCCCAAAAATATGTTTTCACTTATTCTTCAAAGTTAACTTTAGAATGTTACCACAGCTTTATAACTAAGGAATGTTTATTCATGATTAACAAGAGATACTTTATTCAAATGATGTTGATTCTTCAATATTAGGAGTATTTATGGAATTACTGAAAAGTAAGCAAAAATAGAACAAAGTCAGAGGCATGTAATTCATACCTAATAAGTTAATAATGTATCCTACATGGAATCATACACACATAGATCTTTTTATTGCGGTTTAAAAAAAAAATCCACAGGAAAAACTGAGTCATGAATGAATCTTATTATGTTCTGTACTTACTTAATCTGGTTTATATAAATTGAACCACATGTTTAAATTTAAAGGACTTTACATGTTGATTAATGAATTAGACACATTCAGTTTAATGCAGGTGTTTTGTTTTTTAACTCTTCAAACTTTATTCTCTTTTCAGGTTAAAAGAATGACAAATTCATATCTTTCTTTTTTATAATAACTTTGTATTTATTTCTCTTTTTAGATCTGTATTGAACGATGTCTTGAGAGGGGAAAGAGTAGTGGTAGGAGTGATGACAACAGAGAGAGCTTGGAAAAGAGGTACTTTGCAATTTTTATACAATAAGCCACCTCAATCTCAGTTTGGAACTTGAATAGCAGGTTAAATACTTGCCTCATTTTGGTTCAGAAAAAGAAAATGTCATGCCTACCTATGTGAAATGGCTTATCTAAGAAGATGCTAAAGCAGTCAGTTGGGTCAGATCCAGTGTTCTCCTCTGAGCTATCTTATAACATGGAGGAGAATGGAGGAATACTTAGAACCTTGCAATATTTGCCTTTTTTTCCTTTTCAGAATTCAAACCTATCTTCAGTCGACAAAGCCAATTATTGACTTATATGAAGAAATGGGAAAAGTAAAGAAAATAGATGCTTCTAAATCTGTTGATGAAGTGAGTATCCTGATCCTGCCTTAAAAAAAAAAAAAAAAAAAAAAGGTCAAGAGAAAATATGATGGACAGCATAGGCGGGAGAAAAAAAAATAGTATGACAGAACAGTTTGCTTTTCAAGACACTGGAGATTAAATGAAAAATTAGTTTTTTTCTCCTTTTTGAATAGAGTCTAAAATGGGTTTTACAACTTCAGAGTTATTCTTTATAGAAGCGGGTGATTTATTAATTCCAAACTTCATTTCTCAAACACTGGAAAATTGGCAGTTGAGACTATGATTTGGACCATGAGCATTAAGAAAAAATCTATAACATGAATTGCAGATTATCTAGCTCAGGAGCCACAGGCTGCCTTCATTTCTTCTGTCACAGAGCACAGAGCTCCAGGGGCAGCAGGAGCTGGGAAAGTGGGGATAAATGGTGATGGTCAGAAATTTGAGTTGGGGTGGTTAACACACAATACAGTGTACAGATGATGTGTTGTAAAATTATGCACATAGACCTGTATAATTTTGTTAACCATGTCATCCCAATAAATTTAATAAAAAAATAAAAACATGTAGTTCCAGAAGTGTATGGTGTCCGTGGCTAGTACTGCTCTCTTCCTTCATAAGCCAGCTGTCTTCAACTGTGGTTTGAAAGCCCTCATTGCCCAGCAACTATTTCTAGTACTTTTTAATTCACCCATTCTTCCCCTTGGACCTTTCTTTGTTATTGTATAGTCATTTTTTAATTTTTTAAAAATCTATTGCCACTTTCTGTAGTGGTGAGGTAATATATCAGAAAACTTCAGTGTTTTAGAATCAGAACTAGGAAGATAAGCCACTTCCATTTTATCAATTTTTGGTAGCCGATTAAGAAGTTTTATTTTGTCCTAAAATTGAATGCAACATACTTAGAGTTTTATATGTATTATTTTTTTAATATATTTTTATTGATTTCAGAGAGAGGAAGAGAGAGGGAAAGAGAGAAAGAAACATCAATGATAAGAGAGAATCATCAACCATCTGCCTCCTACACACCCCACAATGGGGATCGAGCCTGCAACCCAGGTATGTGCCTCGACCTGGAATTAATCAGGACCCTTCAGTCTGCAGGCGGATGCTCTATCCACTGAGCCAAACTGGCCAAAGCTTATATGTGTTATTTATGATATTATATTACTGTTTAAAGTAAAATAAATAAAACTAAGAAATCATAATGTGTTTTTTAATTATCTACTTTGGAAATTAATATAAATTTGATATACTTTTAAGCCATATGGTATTTTAACAATATTTTCTTTTAAAATTACTATCTTTGCCGGGACCGGTTTGGCTCAGTGGATGGAGCTTTGGCCTGTGGACTGAAGGGTCCCGGGTTCGATTCTGGTCAAGGGCATGTACCTGAGTTGCGGGCACATCCCCGGTGGGGGGTGTGCAAGAGGCAGCTGATCGATGATTCTCTCTCATCGAAGTTTCTAACTCTCTATCCCCCTCTCTTCCTCTCTGTGAAAAATCAATAGAGTGTATTTAAAAAAAAAATAAATAAATAAAAAAATTAAAAAAAAAATAAAATTACTATCTTTTTCCTTTGCAGGTTTTTGATGAAGTTGTGAAGATTTTTGACAAAGAAGGCTAACTAAACCGGAAAGCATCCTTGAAATCATGCTTGAATATTGCTTTGATAGCTGCTATCACAATCCCTTTTTAAGGCAATTTTAATCTTTCATAATTACGTCATAATTAGTGGCCAGAAAGTATATAGTAAGACAAATTTTTTATCTTCAATTTTTTTTTTTTTTTTTTTTTTTTTTTTTGGTCATAGGAGTAGACAGTGAATTCGGGTCTAACTTTGTCTTAGCTGTGGTGCTCACAAAACAAGGAAGGGCATTAGCTAGCTCGTTGTTTTTATTCGATAAGGATATTCCTTTTTTAGTTTGTGCCTTCTGTGAGCAAAACTTTTTAGTATGTGTATATCCCTTTAGTGATTGCAACATGTAAGGATTAGGGATTCTTCACCTCCTCTTTTTCTTGCAGGTTTTAAATTTCCAACCTGCTAAGTGAATTTGTGGACCAAATTGCAAAGGAACTTTTTGTGAAGTTAGTTCTTGCACAATGTGTTTGGTAAACAAACTCATAAGATGAATTGCTGGAAGTGTTTTACTATTTATCCAATAACTGACTATATTCTATAGAAAGATTAAAAAAAAAACTTAGCTGTGTTTTAGTTTTACTACAACTGGTACAAAGTTGTATGACAGGGCATAGTCTGCTTCCAGGGATTAGGATGAGGGCACGGGGGGGGGGGGGGTTCAGAGCCTGACAGAAATGTCAGCTTTATTCTGACATAAATCTGAGGATAAGGAGCAAGGATCATATCTAATGACATGTGTTCCTTATGCTCTATTATATAGTGTTACTAATGATTAAATTGATCTCAAAATTCCTAGCAGTAAAATCTTGAAATGCATGTACTAGATTTATGGTAAAATGGTTTGGGTTTTTTTTGTTTTTGTTTTTTTGTTAGTTTGTTTCTTTTCTAGACTAAATTTAAGGTTAGTATAAAGTAGAAGAAATTAATGGTTAAATTTCCCATTTGTATTTTATTTCCTTGAATATTTTTTCATAGTTATTTGTTTAAGAAGATTTAAAAATCACTGCACTTTGGTCAGAAAAATAATAAATATATCTTATAAATGTTTGATTTCCTTCCTGGCTACTTTTATTCAGTACTTTATTCAATAAATTATTTTTTGGCATCATGTTTAAGCATGGAAAAGTACAGAATAAAAAAGAAGGCTGTAGAGTCCAAAGGAATGTTTCCTTAAATCTATTCTTCCTTTAAAAATCTTTGAGAAATTCATTTTCTCCATTCTTTTTTCTGTCGTCACCAATACAAAGTGGTATCAAGGTTCTTATTATGAGACTTATTAAAATGTTTTTCATCTTCAGCATCTTTTTGACTTTGTATAATTAACATAATTAAAATTTGACTTTGTATAATTGTTAATATAATTAAATTTTTATATTTAAAGCCATTGAAAATAGTGAGGACAATTTGTGGATATTCTTCTACAGGGATGGGCAAAATAGGTTTCAAGTTCATATGGAAAGAGACATGCACATTGTGATTATTACAACAGCTTTGTTAACTGTTTCATGTACTTACAACTGTAAACCTACTTTTGTCCACCACTCCTGTCTTGTAATAGATTTATTTATTTCTATGTGTATTATGAAATTCACTTATTGATGATGAACTTGCAACATTCTTGCCATTAAAACAACAAAGTATCCATAAATATTATACTATAACATAGTAGCCACCAAAATTTGTATTGACATCTTGATTTCTTGGAAGAGGTTGTAATGAATTCTTATCTAGTGATTCCATCCAGCCAGGACAGAGGGCTTTTATGGGTAATTTAATAAAAATGGCTGTAGTATGAAGCAAAAGCGAAGACTTAAGATTTTGAATGTGCTTCTTTTCACATAAGTGAAGAAACCTATCAGATGGGGATCTAAATATTTATGGTAGTGTGAAAGCAATCTTAAACGTGTGGATTTTAAGGAGACTGCTGAGACTGCTCTTTCATCAAATATATTTCTGTGACATTCGAGAACAAAAACCAAGAAACATGATAATTACTAAACTATGAAGCTTTTTTTTTTGTTTGCTTAAGTAGAAAAACATGTCAGCAATATTGAGTTTAGTAGCTGATTAAGATACATCTAAATTCACTAGTTAGGTCGTATTTCCATTTGTTAAAGACACAGCCACCAAGAAATTTTTGACTTTTCTTGAAAGAACCCAGTGGAAGCCTTGCTATTAAAAAAAAAAAAAAATTAACATTACTTCCATTCAGTGATTTTGGATATATATGGATTATTTAGTAAATAATCCCAATAAATATTGTGCTGTGGCCTTTGTTGTTTGCTGGTTCAGATTTCTGTTCTCACAAGCATATGGGAGACTTAACATGTGCATCCTCACATAGCAAAAGCAGAACTAGGGATCCAGGAGAGTTTTCTTCTCTGTGTATTATGTTTGTGCATCTTAAATTAAGCAGAAAGCATTGCTTCAAGAAGTAATCTGGGTTGAGACACATGAAGCCTATTGCATTGCCAGCCTGTAGCGTCGATTCCTTGTCTCTTTGAGGGGAAAATTGGTAGCAGGCAAGCAGTTTGTCTCAGGATGCGGGTTTTTTTGTGGTTTGTGGCTTTGTCCATGTAATTTAAGTGGATGTCTGACATTTCAGTTGTCCCGGAGGTTTGGTCTTTTCTCTTCAAACACACATTAATTGCACAAGCCATAGTACTATAAGCACGCTCTCTGCCTTCCAAGAATTTTGTGTGTGTGTGTGTGTGTGTGTGTGTGTGTGTGTGTGTGTGTGTGAGAAAAGGTAGAAATTTATTGAAGAACAAGTACAGACTCCCACGTGGGGAGAGGGAGGAGTCCCATAGAGTGGACTCCCAAGTAGGGAGGGGGGAAAAGATCCCCAGAATTTTCTTTCTAATACTAACACGGATGCGGATAGACCTTTTAGCTGTCTTGGTTGGCTGGCATATAGTCTGCTGCACTTCTCCCATACTGCTAAATTCAGTACTCTTTCATTCTAAGTATTTTATTTTTTTTTTAATGAAAGAAAGGAAGCTAATTTATTATGCACCAAAGGAAAAAGGTAATAACGGTCTTAATCTTCTCCGCCCCTCCCCCCCCTTTTTTTTGTCATTCTGGGCTCCAATGTAAGTACTCTCTTGGATCCAGGGCTGCTTTCCTTTGAATGGGTATCGTTATTGTGACTGTGATGTTCTGGACCTTGATCAAGTTCTACAGTCACCATTTTTCCTGTCGAGGGCTGAAGAGAACAGTTGAATTTCTGGCTCCCACCCTATACCCTACGTCACCCATACGGACTATGGTCTGTCTGCTCAGACTTGTATGGGATCCCTGCGCGCTTCACCCCCTCGCTCCCCTTGCCCCATTCATTAGAGCAGAACCTGCTTCTCTTAGGTCCCTCTTTTCCAAAGAGGCTTCCCCCCCCCTCTTATTACTGCCCTCATAAGACCCTGACATAAGAGAAAAGGGCTTAATTATTTTGTACTGTTTAGGGAGACAGGGTTCCTGATCAATATTTCCCCAGGTCAGGTTCTTTCAGCCACAAAATTGTTTTCTGTTTATATTGCATTTTCAAGTAACTATGCAGCTTCCTAACTGGCCTTTAATGTCCTCATCAACCAGAGGAAAAGCATCTGCAGGGGCGTCTCTACATTCTAGCCTAAAGGTAGATAATTGAAGCAAACTTTAAGGTCTGCACAGTGGAATGAAGCCGTTAAGCAGCATGTCATATTCATAGCAGATGCATTCTCATTTGGTTGAGTAACCACCTTTAAAAAGAGAAAGTAAAATTCATATAAAGCCATGTGTGTGAACTTTAGGAATGTTCAATGTTAGAAGGTTTCTTGGAGAAATACACTCTTAGTAGCTGCTTATAGAATATTGGGCATGGGAATTGATAACAAACTCAAGATGGACTTTCAAGAAAAGCCCAGGATCGAATAGATTTCCTTCCTGGTTTGTAAAACCCTGCAGCCCTCACTTACCTGGTGCCGAGGGCCCCCAGAGCCAGAGGGAAAGATACCGAGTTAGTTCAGCAGTTAGTACTTGGAAGCACAAAGCTGTTGTGCATGGCACATGCTTGGTTTATTGTTTTTATTCAGTAAGTCCTCGCTTAAAAACTCTAAGTGAAATGTCTTATAACTAAGTGACATTGAGTCATTATTAGAGGAGCTGCTATAGAGGAGCATTCTCACAAGTGGCTCCAAAGCAGCTTTGAGAACTTGGCTCAAGTATCTGATTGTGATGAGGCTGCATCACAATGGCCTGTCAAAATGAAAATGCTTTTTAATTGCCAGGTAACGTACACAGTAGGCACTACCATTATTCTGTCCTCAACTGGGATAGTGGTCAAGATAGATACATTATTTGAGGGGAGGGAGGAAAGGAGAGGGTGCTAGAGTTTTATAGCTAACTTTTAGATTGGCTCAAAATAGTCCTACCTTGAAATAACCAAGTTAAAACAGCTGCATCAAAATCCCTCTTACTTATATGTTTTATTTCAGAGAGGAAGGGAGAGGGATAGATAGAAACATCATTGATGAGAGAGAATCCTTGATCTGCTGCCTCTTGCACACCCCTACTGAGGATTGAGCCCACAACCCAGGCATGTGCCCTGATCAGGGATGTTACTGAAACCTTCTGGTTCATGGGTCAACTTTAAAACCACTGAGCCACACGGGCTGGGCCCCGCTTGTTTTAAATGTGTCGATGTAAAGTCTATATGTTTTCCTCTGTTTAGGTTTTAGATCTGAATCAGTGCTGTTTGGGGAAAGGGTAACTACTGGGCTTGAGACTGCTGCTGCTGTGTGCTAATGGAATGGGCTGGGATGGGCTGGGATGAGTGTGGGGAGTATAAAAACTTGAATAGGGAAGTAGAATTTGGTTCAGTCCGGTTCTACTTGATACATGTTGGCTTTTGGAAGAGTTCACTTTAATTCTACCCATATTTACTCCACCAAACACCCTTCTTTACTCAAAAGTCTTCATGATCATAGGCCACATTCCCATTTCTCTCCATG